AGAGACAGATATTTATAAAATGATACAATGAGAGTCCTAGCAAAATAAACTTAACCATTTGGCCGACTTCCACGATCGTCTCTCGGCCTTAGGGGAAGGAGAGCCCTAGTCAACTCTCAAAAGTTCTAGACATCTGATTCCTTAGTCGAATTACAAGTCATTGGCTCTTTATCAAGGTAAGCCCAAGGCACGACAGATGGTCGAATCCTCCAGTGCAAGTCAACCATCATGGCTCATTACAAGACTTTGGTACCTTATCAGGGATAAACTCAATGCACAATCATAGAGGACTCAGCCCCACCGATTCATCAAGCTAACTCTCTGGTGTCGACACCAAAGGCGATATTGGTCGACACGAGAGATCTTGACCTCCCATACGAGTCGACATCTTTATATCGACTCAAGAGACAGTTATTAGCTGAGACGAGATGACATTCCAACCAGTCGGACAGGCCGATATTCCTAAGTCGACGCGAAAGGTGGTATCGGTCGATCCTATCGTAAAGGACGACCCTACTTAGGGCACTCGACCACTCACTAGGCAATTCTCAGAAGCAACTAAAGGGACATCGTCTGCTACCAATTAAATTGAGAATTTGATCCCAACTCTAAGTCTCTATCTCAGAGCATATGTCAACATTCCCGTCCACCTCGGACAAGCCTTATCTAGATTTTGGCCTGATAAGGTCTCCATGACTTGTCAGCTCAATCACTTCTCGGAGAATGCGGAGACACTCTCTCCCATGCCAAAGTGACTTCCCCTCTAGTCGCCAGTCGACACCTGTAAAGTGAGGGATGATTCAGTATGCCCATGTGCCTTCTGCTACGCTATCAATCACTTACTGGAGAATACGAAGACACCCTCTCCTGTCGCCAGTCGACGCGTGTGGAGAAAAGGATGACTCATCTTCCAGCTTACACTTTATCACCGCCATTTGCAGGGTTGGAGTGACCATTCCGCGATTGACATCCTCTTTATATACAAAGGCTATTCGCCAGAGCGAGAGAGGAGGTTAGCAATCTAAAACCCCTTAAAGCATAGATGACATAAAAACAAGAACACATAGTTCTTCGTCCCGACAGATGATCTCGCGTAGATCCTCTGGGCACGCACCTTACCACCTTAAAAACCACATTGGTTCTTGACTCCCTTCTCCACTTGAGTTTCACTAACTTAACCGTCGGAGGAATCACGGGGAAACCGGTCCCCGCCCTCTCACGTGTTCTTCTTGTCTGTGCAGCATGGACATCAAGCCCTCGTTCGAGAACTAGGCATAAAGTCAGAGAATGGCTAAGGTATTGATAAGAGTAAATTGAACGATTAAATAATGTTTATATTTATTAAATAATTATTTATTTAAATTTTCACTGACATCATCCTTCATCAACCCGCGACCATCCTCTTCTGGATTAATTGGTTGTTTGATATTGAGCATCAACAGTTTTGATTTTATTTCTGCTGTAAAATTTATGTTTTAGCGAAAATCTATATCAAATTTATTCACCCTCGCTCTAAGCCTGCTCTAGGCTTGCATCTCAGTTCCAACATGTATGTCTCATCCTTACTCGTCCCTCTTCATCCTTTCTCTAGAGGCTCTGAAGGAATTTTTCCCTGTATACGTTGATGGGTGTTATGTCCAATAATTAACTAAATTCCTATCTTATGCCTCACCTAAAAAAGGTAAGAGAAAAAGAAAATTAATAAACTCAAGTGCTAAACAATGGGATTGACCAAGGTTTACAGGGTACATTCAATTTTCTTGTTTGAAAGTGACGCAGCGCGGAAGTAGTAGCATCGGAATCCATCAATGACAATCTTCGAATCCACGAAGAACTTCGAATCCACGAAGTAAATATTAAAGAAAAAATAAAATTTTATTAATTAAAAGTTATGTTTCTAGGACTTACAAGGCTCTACTTAAATAGAAAAAGAAACAAAACTTCTATAAGGACTCAAACTCCTATAAGGACTCAAATTTTACCAAAAATAGTAAAAAATTTCCTAAAACATTAAAACTCCTAAAAAGACTCCTTATGACTAGGAAAGTCCACCGGTCAAATATGAGATCAAATCAGATTTATTTCCTAATCAACACAGACTCCTAAAACATTACTAAAAATAGTAAAAACGGACAAAAATATAGATATCTCTCAAACCGTAAGGAATTTGGCGAAACGGAGGAAGTAAACTGAACCCTTACGGGTCGGCTTGGTTGGCTCCGTCTCGTCGAGATAGTTGATTTTCATATATAATTTGTCCAATTCCAACGTACGGTTTGAAAGTTATGGTTGTTTCTTTGTAGCAAGTTATTTTCCTTGATCGGGCTCGCGTTTGAGCTTGCGACTGTCCCACTTTGACATAAACATATTTGTCGTGGGTTCTACATCAGAAAGCAATATATGCCCTCCCTTGGCTATACAGTTAACAAGACATTGGAAGTCTTTGATTAATTACAACTGTATTGGAGTCTAATAAATCAAAGTAATTAACCAGTTAAGCTTGTCTTATTCATGTGATTAAATATGGAATAACCCATAAGCTAAGAGATTGACCATTGTTCAAAGTCGCCAATAGGATTGCTTAATTTCAGTGATTGGGATTAACTAAGTTTCTACAACAAGCAATATTAGCATATTACATATTTTTGTACGTATCACATGCACGGTGCAATTAGTGATTGAAAAGGCATTACATTTGCTTCAAACAAAAATATAAAAAAGAAGACTTAGTCTACTCCTTGTGCTCATAATTCGTAAGAGCAGGCTCACAAAGTCCTCAATAGCGAAACACCAAATTGTCAATGGTCTTTAAAAGCAGCCAGTTGTTAAGTTTCTGCCCATGTCTCCTTCGCTCAACTGGCAGGGGTTATACTTTGTGGCAACCAATGAAGTAAAGCTTAAAATGAGACTCTTGACTATTGACTCAAACATTATAAATGCATTAACTAAGAGCGTAACTAATTAGTTCCTTCATTAGCTAGCATAAAATTACTATCTTCTTTGTTATGATTGGATGCGCAGAGAGAATGCTTAATTTCTCATTAATCATAAGATTGTATCCTCTCTCTCTCTTTTTCTCTTTTTTTTTCCCTTTTTGTCCATGAAAATAAGCGTTTATAGCATTACAACATAATCTCAGGCA